GTCGGACAAACTTGGCCAACTTGAGGTTTGAAAGGAGCCTCAATTTTAACATCTCGAAATTGACATCCGACCAATCATGAAACCGACAAGTGGTTGCATTATAATGATAACAACATAATTTGGATTAGAATATCTCCTCTCTCTTTTTCACAACTTGAATATGCAAATTAGTTCGTAAGATTAGTCGTCGAGTTTGAAATATTTACACAGATTATGTTCATCTTCTACAGCTCCCCAATTTAAGCCTCAGTTATGAATGTAAATTCCTAGACTCAAACCATTTTCATTTTGTTGACATATTTTTACTCTATAAGTAGATTTTTTATATATATAGCCCCTGACATATTAAGTTGAGCATTTTTTTTTGTTATGAATGTAAATATTGTGCATTTTTTTTTAAATAACAATTCATTTCCTATTTTGTTTTTCTATGATCGATAATTTTTCAAAAGAAAATTCTGACTTTTTTTTTTTAAACTCATTATCTAACAATAAATAAATCAATTCAAACTACAATAAACTGCTAAAATCTAAAACATCATCTTATGTATCGGAAATGATAGCCTACTATCTTTAACTTAATGCGACCAAATTAGTCCAATCATGAATTGGCAATAGCCCTCGTGTCGTATGCTCTTTTCCCAAGTTGCTCGCGATCTTCATCATAATACACTATACATTCATGATCTATAATTTTTTCGTTTACTAATCTTATCATTTATTATGATTTCCATACATTATGTATACATAATTTACATATATAATGATATAATAAAGATAGCGCCTATATTTCTCAGCTATATATGTATACATAATTTTTATTTTTTTTTGCCGTGGATCCAATTTTTAGGTTGAACATTTTGTGTAAAAGCAATATGTAATTCCTGAACAATAAAATAAGAGTAAATGTCTCTCTCAGTTGTTCTCATACGCTTAAACAATAATGGAAGAAGAAAGACTCAAAAGGGATGCGAAGACAAAAGATAAACGTTGTGTGGTCATATCTTGAACATGCAACTTCGACCAAAAGGTAAACGGATCTCTTTCGCTTTGAAAGTTTCAAATTCCACCAGAGTCTCCGGTCAAACTCAATCTCATATTGCACACCAAAAATCTTCATCTTCTTCTCTTTGTAATAACGAACCAAAACCTCCAAATCCATAGACTTGTCTTCCTCTAGAGCTTTGTCTGAACTCTTACAAAAGTCAACTTTCATGTCCCAATACCATTATTAAAAAAAAAAAAAAGGGACCATACTCAATTTCCCACAAAAGGGTAGGAGAATTACAATCCTCCAATCTCCTAAAAACTGGAACCAAAGTCTTGATTTTTTTTTTAGATCTGGACATCGAAAAACACAAGCTTGTAACAGAACACCAATGAAGACTATCTCTGTGTTGGTCATCTTCTTCTTCCTTGTCGACTTCATCGCAAAAGCCAGGAGCAGGAACAGTTCAGGTTGCGAATCATTCACCTGCGGAAACCTCGACTTCGAGTTCCCTTTCTTTAACACAACCATGCCATCTCGATGCGGTATGTTCATGATGAATTGCAGTCACGAGATTCCAGAGATACAGCTTGAGGAAAAAGGGAAATGGTATAAAGTCACGAGCGTCTCTCAAGCCAACACCATAACCATCACTGACCCAAGGCTTAACCAAAGCTTGGCAGCAGGATCCTGCAGTGACTTGTCAAGCTTCTCTCTTCCAGATTCGCCGTGGCTCGAGTTGAGCACTTTGTACAAATGCAACACCACTAGGAAGAATGGTATCCGCTATGCGAATTGCGGAGGAGGTGAAGGAAGCAGCAGCTTCTACAACTCCGATTTGGGAGCTGATTCAGGGTGTTTAGCTATCAAGACTCCAAAGAGCTGGTTGATTCCAGGAAATAAGAACCAGCCTAATGTAAGTGCTACCTTTTCCCTTCATATAGAACTGCCTCGAGGCTGCCATCGCTGCCATAACCGAAGAGGAGAATGTAAGATCATCAACCACAAGTTCCGCTGCGTTGGAGGAACCAAAGGTACGGACACAATGATACATGTTCGTTACTTCTGCAACGCTCATTTGGCTGTGACAATAATTCGATTTTTGCCTCTGCTTTTATACAGAGAAAAATGACAACCAAGAGAGAATGAAGCTGGGATTTGGTAAAAAGAGATGTTCTGTTTTGCTTCTTTAGTTTCATCTTTTTCCATGAAATACCCAAAATTTGAATCAATTTACCTCTCTAAATTGTCCAGGAATCGGAGGATCTGTCATCTTGCTAATCATCTTGGTGGCACTCTTAATCATCATCCATAGGATTTACAGAAGAAAAACTTGTTCGGAGTTCATCTCTAGAAGCAACTCGAAATCTGACGTCGAGTTTAGTACTGTCTTTTTTAAGATACCAATCTTCTCCTATAAAGAACTTCAAGAAGCAACAAACAACTTTAGCAAAGACAGGTTACTAGGAGATGGAGGATTTGGCACTGTGTACTACGGTAAGATGAACAGTGCTCTAACACTTCTACAAAGTGTGAAAACGCTTTGTTAAGCTGTTTTCTTCCTTTTCTGATCTCAGGAAAAGTGCATGATGGGCGAGAAGTTGCAGTGAAGCGTCTCTATGAGCACAATTACAGAAGACTTGAGCAATTCATGAACGAGATAGAAATCCTCACACGTCTCCATCATAAGAATCTAGTCTCCCTCTATGGATGCACTTCACGTCGTAGCCGAGAACTTCTCCTTGTCTATGAGTTTGTTCCAAACGGCACAGTTGCAGATCATCTCTATGGTGAAAACCCGGCAAACCAAGGTTATTTAACATGGTCAATGCGCATGAGCATCGCCATAGAAACAGCGAGTGCGTTGGCTTACCTTCATGCTTCGGATATCATACACCGGGATGTCAAGACTACAAACATTCTCCTCGATGGGAATTTTGGAGTCAAAGTTGCGGATTTCGGTCTATCAAGGTTGTGCCCGACTGATGTGACACATGTTTCAACTGCTCCTCAGGGTACTCCAGGATATGTGGATCCTGAGTATCATCGCTGCTATCATCTAACCGATAAGAGTGACGTATATAGCTTTGGAGTGGTGCTTGCCGAGCTCATATCATCAAAGCCTGCTGTTGATATAAGCAGGTGCAAGAGTGAGATCAATCTATCAAGCTTAGCTATTAACAAGATACAAAACCACTCGACCCACGAGCTGATTGATCAGAGTCTTGGATACGGAACGAACGAAGGAGTTAGAAAAATGACTACAATGGTGGCAGAGTTGGCTTTTCAGTGTTTGCAGCAAGACAGTACAATGAGACCGACAATGGAACAAGTTGTGCAGGAGCTAAAGGTAATCCAGAATGAGGAGCAAAAATGTCAATACTACAATTACAAAGAGGAGACAATAACTCTGCACCCTTCGCCACCGGAATGGGACGAAGCTTCGCTAATAAAGAATATGAAATTCCCACGTTCACCGATCTCTGTGACTGAACAATGGACCAGTAAATCAACCACACCGAATACCAGTGCTTACGACTGCTAAAATCCTTCAGGTATTGGTTTCTTCTCATTTGTGTCTGATGGGAAGATATAAAGATGAGGTAGAGAACTGTGAAGCTGTAGGTGAGAGAATGTACATAGTGACATAACATGCACTACCAATCACCAGTTTTCTATGTCTAATTTTGTCTATCATACTCAGCATATGTAACTGTATGTAATACTGACTCAACAAATAAAAAACAAAAAAATTGACTCTGACTTAGGCCAATCTATCTTGCTATGATCTCGATAGTATCTACTGATCTCAGGGCTATCTATCTTCTTAATCACTAGAGTTTAGTACCAGAAGGAAATTTACATAACTAATCGGTATAAAAGGAAAGATTACAAAGGCTGCCAAGACAAATCTCTCCAACCAGAGAAACACATTGCTTTCATCAAATGTCACATTGTTCCTTCCACAAAGCTTATAACCCGGGGAAGAATATCTTATTACCTTGTGGTAGGTGAAGCACCAATGTTGAAAATGAGAAAGGAAACGAATCCTCTACTTTTTCAAATTTCAGCAGCCACCGTCCTTTGGAATTGGTCCACAAAATTCCACCCAAAGCATCTACTTCTTGATATATCCAAATCACTTTCTACAAATTCCACAAAACCTGCAATTTGAACTTACCGAAAGTGTGAGACGGAGAGGGCCCTCAGCTATAAGTGAGAATACCTAAAAGATGTGATCTTCAAATACTTGCTGATCATCAAACGAGCCCAAAAGTATTTTGATAGGTTACACATTTGTTAGAGCGAMAAGAAAAGGTTACAACTTGATCACCGCAAGGGAAAAAATCACTTAMTTGGAACATGGCTTTGGAAAAAGATAACCTATGAAGCACATCTCGAGTCTGGAAAAGCTTTATTTGCTTCCAAGAGGGATAGGGGAAGTATTGATCTTATTAGACTGAGTTTGTGATTCTCTCAAACCCAAATCTTTCTCTTCTTCTTCGTCTCCTCGCCSACTAACTAAACWCTTTCTTTCTTCTTCTCTTTTGTGATCCTCCGAAATATTAGTCTCTGGTGGCACAACTTGTCGGAAAAATCTAAGCATCATCTCATAGGTTGTAAATGTAATAACCGCTGATGGAGTTGTCCTTAGTAGATTAGTAGCACATCCACGGTATAATCCAGGAACCCCTTCGCTTTTAAACACCTTCTTGATGCAATCAACGACTCCCGCATACTTAGTCTCAGCGTTTCTCATTTGCCCTTGTTCTTGAAGCTTAGCTCTAATTACCTGTGGATGTAACATAAACCCACTTTAGGGTTGGATCAGGTAGGTATGGGCCTA